TGTGATTTCGGGCATAGGTTGAGGGGGTACTTGGGCATTATCCCTTTAGTTTATAATGATAACATGTGTAGCTATTATGTAAATATATTAATTTTAGTTAGTAGAATTTTCGTTTAATGTTAGTGACGTAAAATTTTTTTTGAATAAAAATGGAAAAAATATATATAATAATAATAATAAAAAGAAAAAAAAGAAAAGTTAAAAAAAATGTGAGAAAGAATATAAAAAAGGGGAAAAGAAAAAACAGAAAAAATAAATAAAAGAAAAAGAAGTATAAAAATAATATATATAAAAAAATATGCAATTGAAAAAGAAAGATTTTTTTTGAAAGTTTCTTTGTCCAAACAAAAAAAATTTAAGTTGAATAAAATATAAATAAAACCTTGAAAGTTTAAAAATTTATAATAACAATAAAATAATAATAATAGTAAAAGATGAGAAGGTAAAAGAAAAAGAAGAGCGTAAAAAAAATAGTAACAAACGAAAAAGTAAAAATAAAGAATATCTTATTTTACTCTGTTTTTTTTATTTAATTTATATGCGTATATATATTTTAATTAAATGGCATAGATTAATAAAATAAGATAGTTTTTAATATATTTAAGTAAATTAAAGAATGAGGGTAAAAAATTTGTTTTAATTATAGAATTTTCAAAAAAAATAGTTTAAGTCATAAAAGTCAATAAAGCGACCGTGCTAGAACCACGGGATCGAGGGGTGCCTAATACCTTCCCTTCGGTTAATAGAATTCCTTACCCAATTTTTGATTTCGCAGACCGTAAAACAAAGAGTCATTTACTTTTGATTAGAGATTAAACAAAAAAGGTGACTTGGAACACCGTAACTCAATTTCAAGTGGCGACTCTGAAAAAGCTAAAATAATCCCCTAATTAATTACGTCACTTAAATTGGAAAAACCCTTACGCCGTCGCGCGAAAATGGGGTGTGACACCAAGTATGATAGTTTCCATCTTTCTCTGTTCAAGTTGGGTTTAGATGCCTATTTTATTTCGTGTACGTTGTGTTTAGACGTTAGATGGGTTGATTTATGAGCGTATTGTTCTGTTTTTTCTTTCTTATAAATATGAAGTTTACGTCGGCTCTTTTTCTTTTTCTTCCTGTATGCTTCAGTCTCTTGTAGTCTATCATCGATGAAGCGATAAATGTTTTGTCTCAGGTTGAGTAAGGCAGCTCCGTAAGTAAAAATGGTGTGTGTTTCATGGGAGCTGTTCGTTTGGAGTTCTAAAAAATAGAATAAGAGTCTGTCGGTTTTGTGGGATCTTAATGTCGTGTATCCATTGTTAGTATTGCGTCAAACCCATTTAAATATTGTTGCTTGGCCTTCACATACAATAAGGGTGATTAATCTGTGCCTCTGGAAGTGCATTTCCTTTATTTTCATTTATATTATCTTGTTGGAATTT